TCCTCAGAAAACCCAGGAGGCAGGGATTATTTTACAGATGAGCAAACTGAGGACAACTTCACGCTGCCAGTGAAGGCAGAATTGAGGAACAAGCCACGCTCTAAATCCAGTCCTCTCTTTCTCGGTGTATTCATTTGCTTGGGCTGCCACGACAAAATACCATGCAGTGGGTGGCTTAAACAACAGAAATCAATTTTCCCACAGTTCTGGAGGCTAGAAGTCCAAGATCAAGGTGTCAGCAGATTTGGTTTCTCCTGAGGTCTCTCTCCTTGGCTGGGCACTCATGTGCTGTTCCTCTGGGTGTGCTCCTCCCAAATGTCCTCTTCTTGTAAGAACTGTCATGTTGGATGACGGTCCACCCTAAGGACTTCCCTTGGATTGAATCACCTCTTTAAAGCCTCTGTCTCCAAGGAGCCACATTCTGAGGTCCTGGGGGTTGGGACCTCAACAGATGGATTTCAGGCAGACACAATTCAGCCCAGAACACTCAGCAACAGCTGTACTTCCTCTCACGCTCTCTCTCTCTGTCCATCAATTGTAAAATAAGGGCTTGTTAAAAACAGGCTCACAGACATAGAAAACAAACCATGGTTACCAAAGGGGAAAGGGCGGGGAGGGATTAATTAGGGGTTGGGGATTAAGAGACACGCATTACTATATATAAAACAGGTAAACAACGAGGACCTACTGTATAGCACAAGGAACTGTATTCAGTTTCTTGTAATAACACTGATGGAAAAGAATCTGAAAAATATATATATATATGTATAACTGAATCACTTTGCTGTACACCTGAAACTAACATTGTAAATCAACTACACTTCAATAAAAAAAATTTTTTTTAAAAGGCAGGCCTTGTAGAGTCCTGGGGGAGGCATTGTCCATTTCTCTCTGATGCTATTAAGTGTTCTTGTCTGTCCTGTCACTGAGGCCAGAACTGCAGCCTGGAGCATCCAAGGAGGAAGGAACAGGCAGAAACAAGAAAGCCGTGAAGTCATCTTGGGTTCTTTGACCACATAATTATCTCCGCCTTCCCTTGCCGCACGATTCTTTCTGCCATTTAATAAACTAACTCCAAAATGATGAGAGAAAGGAAACCACTGTCTCAAGTCCTGGAAGCTCCCTGAGGGATTATGGGATTTTACATCATTAAACAGGAGCCGTGTAATTTTCTACCTGCTCGCCTCCGTTGCATATTGTATGTTGCCCCCTCACTACTTCTCAGCTCCTCTTTCAAGTTGCAAACACAATTCACTGGGACAAAAATGCCTCTCCTTCATTCTCTGCTTGGCTCCTCCGGCTTCTGCTGCCCACATGTTCTCAGCCTACCTAGCGTCCAGCTGGGGTGCACAGGGCCCCTCCACTGTGCCTAGATGGAAGCCTGCCTTGGCAAAATAGCTCACTTTCCCAAGCCTCTGTTGGTTCACCTCCAAAATGGGTTTGAATTATTTTCTTGACTGGTTCACACGGAGGTCTAAAGAGCCCTGCGACTGCCCGGGGCCTGTCATGTGCTTTACAAACTAGAAGTGCTGTGCAAATATTATTATCGTCAACATGCTTTGGAAAAAACTGGCTCCCCAGGCACGAGCAGCAGCAGTGACGGGAGGACTCTGATGATGCTGGGGGCACAAGGCTTCTCTGCTTTGGCCTGGGTGTTGTGGGGGCTGCCGGGGCGTTTGTGACCCGGCAGCCATCCTGGGGCAGATGGTGCGGAAGGACAGCATTATAGACACTCTCATCCAGTGTCCTACAGGTTTATGCCTTTGGGGCCCCGGTAGGAAGAAGAAATAGAGGAAGCAGGCCAGATGTTTCTCAGAAAATATGGAGTCGAGGTAGTGTGGGAATTAGAGATTTTTCTTTCAAATTCCTTGTCTTAGAAACACTGAGCGTGCTAAGTAATGCGCCCGACAGGCAGAATCCGACCCAGGGGAGTTCAGTTAAAACTCTGAAGTTGGCTTCTGTACACGATGCACGTGCTCTTTTCACATCCCCTGGGCCCACCCAGAGGTCGTCTGCAGACCGTGTCTCTCCGCCTGAGGACAGTTGGCGGTCAGGTCAGGACGCTCAGTGACACCTGGGGCAGGCTGGGTGTCGATGCTCCTGGAGCCACCCCCTACCAGAGGAACAGAGGCGAGTGAAACCCTCCAGCTTGCTTGGCCGGCAAAGGGACAGTTCTAACGTTCTGTCAGAGGGTCTCCTGCAGGACTGAGCCCCGCTGGCCCACTGCAGGAATCAGCCAGCTCGCTGATGCACCATTCCTTGGTGTCCCGTCCTTTCCCATTTCCCTTCCCTACTCCCACCATGGTTCCTGGCTTCATGAGATAATGAACAAGGTGCATCCAAACGCTTGCCTCAGATCTGCTTCTACGGGAACCCAAACTACAACAGCACCTATGCAGTGTTCTGCAAGTAGTCTCTTTGATACCCATGGCACCTGCATAACTTTCGCCATGGGGAGTTCACTACCTCCTGAGTTAGTTCATTCCATTCTTAGAGGACTCGGACCATTACAAATTAAAATTTAAATGATCCCCCTTCCAGCAAGCAGCCATCTATCTTCTCTCTCCAGGGCCACCCTCTGTTCTCCTATGATGTCACTTGAAATCCCTTCACTATCTTGGCGGTTCTTGCTGGTCAATAGCTGTTTTTCAGCCCAACACTCAGAGCCACATACAAGAATGCAAGTGTGGTCTGGCCAGCCAAGAGCACAGTAGCTCTGGTAGCGTGGTCTCCTGGGCACCAGGCCACCAGTTCTTCTGCTGCACCCCTGGCTCACTCTGAGAATGTGGATGATCTTAGCTGGAGTCCGTCATAGGCTGTCACAGCCAGCCCAGCTCTGAATGCCCAGCAAATATGGTATTCCCAGTAGAGGGAAAGGAAGCAAGAAGCAGTCTGGGGTAGGAACAAGGTGTAACACCAGGACATACGATCTGGCCTTAGGGACGGCCGGCAAGCCAAGGTGAGGCATATTCATGAGACTCTCAATTGTATTAGAAGCCCAGTTCAAGGAGGCTTGAGGAACAGAAAGGGCACATTGGCTCAGGTCTCTGAGAAGCCCCTGGTAGATCCATTTGTGGGTCCCCAAATATGCCACAGGGAAGACATCTGTCCTGTCACCCTATCTGGTTCCCTTGTGTGGGTTGTATGCCAGGCAGGCTCTTGTCTCCTGGGTGCTTACATGGTTTCCAGAAGCTTCAGGTTTACATCCTCCCAGTTTAGCAATGTCAGGGCAAAGAGGAGGCCTCTTTCCCAAAAGAACAAACAAATGTTGCTTTCATTCTTTTTTTTCCTTTTTTACTGAAGTATAGTTGATGTACAAATATTATCTAAGCTACAGGTGTACAACATAGTGATTCACAATTTTTAAAAATTTTTCTCTTATTTTTATTTTTAAATTTTTGGGGGGGAGGTAATTAGGTTTTTATTTATTTATTTATTTATTAATGGAGGTACTGGGGATTGAATTCAGGACCTTGTGCATGCTAAGTATGCACTCTACCACTGAGCTATACCCTCCCCCTCAATGATTCATAATTGTTAAAGTTTATAGTCCATGAATGGTTACTACAAAATATTGGCTATATTCCCTGTGTTTCACAATATGTCCTTGTAGCTTATTTATTTTATACATAATAGTTTGTACCTTTTGACTCCTACCCCTATCTTGCCCCTCCTAATAGCCAAGACATGGAGGCAACCTAAATGTCCATTGACAGATGACTGGATAAGGAAGTTGTGGTATACATATACAATGGAATACTACTCAGCCATAAAAAAGAATAAAATAATGCCATTCGCAGCAACATGGGTGGACCTAGAAATTGACATTATAAGTGAATAAGCCAGAAAGAGAAAAAAAATACCATATGATATCACTTATATGTGGAATCTAAAAATAAAAAGGACACAAATGAACTTTCATTTTTATTTGATGAGCGTGGGTCACCTGCACAGCCTGGAGCTGGGAGTTGGGGTCAGCCTCATACAACTCTCTATGGACTAAGAATGAGGGAAGGGTGGTTTCTCCAAAGGAAAGAGGGAATTCTATTATGAAGAGAAGAGAAAAAACCCAAGACACCTACTTTAGGCAGCCTAGGATTCCTGTAAGACTCCAGACCATCATGAGTATCCAAGAGGTCTGAGTTCCAAATGTGGATCTGAGCAGCAGGGTTTCCAGGGTGGCTGTATGAGACAGTGGGGTCATCCATGGTAGCAGCATCCAGACCCCTTGGTAAGTGGTAAGTGTTAGCAGGACAGGGCATGTGGAGGCATATTGGTCAACTTTGATTGAGCCTTTACTGTGGGAAGGCACCGGGCTTTTATATGGATGATCCCAGTCACCTTCAGGGTGCTCCCATGACTGTCATTAGCCCATTTTACATATGGGAAAACTAAGGTACCAAAAGGTTAATGAACTTGTGTCCAAAGTCACACAACTAGTGACAGAACCAGAATTTGAGGGCAGAGTCTCATTCAGAGTTGCAGTTCTCAACTTTGTCTATGCATAAAAATGACCTGGAGAAATTCTTAAAAACCCCTGTGCCAGGCTGCACCCTAGATCACAATCTGTGGGACTGGGACGCAAGCATCGCTATTTCTAAATGCCCCCCATTACTACCACCCAGGCCAGTGATCCCACTGTGCACAACTGAGAACAGCTGGTCTACCTCTCCCCACTCTGTCTCACTGGGCAGAGCTGGACAGGCTGGGCCTCGACCGAGAGCTGGGGGTAATGAGCCATCTCCTTCGTGTAAATTACCTTCACTTCTCTCTGCGAAGCCAGCCAAATCTCTTCTCCCAGACAAAACTTTTGAATCTACTCTCCAGCGGACTTTAATAGTCCTCTTGTTAAGCTGCTCTGGTATCTCAGCGGGAGAGCTCCAAGGCTGGGGGCCCTCTGCATGTTGGATCTAAGTCACATTTTTCTGAGAGTCCCTGATCCCAGAACCAACGACAAAAGTTGAAAGCTTTATAAGAGACAAACTTGATCTCATACTCACCCATTTCACAGATGAGGAAATGGAGACTTCGCCTCTCCTCTCACATTTCCTTGCTGAACAACTAATCCACTGGCAAGCTGTCGAAATGACTGAAAGGCCAAAGAAGAGGGTGTAAGGAAAAAGGCCACTGTTATGGGCTGAACATTTGTGCCTCCCCCCAAAGCTCTATTTTGAAACCCTACCCCTCAGTGTGGGAGGTGGGGCCTTTGGAAAGAAATTAAGATTAGACGAGGTCATGAGGGTGGAGCCACCATGAATGGGATTAGTGCCCTTATATGAGTCACCAGAGAGTTTGCGTCTTCTCTCTGCTCTCTACCATCTGAGGACACAGCGAGGGGTCAGCAGTCTGCCACCTGGAAGAGGGTCCTCACCGGAACCCGAACATGATGGCACCGTGATCTTGACTTCTAGCCTACAGAACTTTGAGAAATGAATTTCAATTTTTTCCTAAGCCACGCAGTCTGTGGTATTTTGTTACAGCAGCCTGACCCGAGAAGACAACTACTAATCCACAATTCCATCCAGACTCACTTCTCCAACATCCCCCAGATAGTCCAAACTTTCTAAACCATCCAATTATTCTGAAAAGCATTTATGGAGCACTTAGTGTCTCATGAGGCTGTAAGAATGTAAGGAATTTGAGATACGAGCCCCACCCTGGAACCCCTTCAGAGTGTGGGACTGGCTCTGTTGGTTGCCCTCCCCAGGGCCACTCCTCCGCCCTCTTTGAAGCTGCCTGAACCTGCTGCTTTCAACAGCAGCAACTGAAAACACAGGCGTGTTGTCTCCCAGCCTCTCTTGCCGCTAGGATTGGGAGCATTCTGGCCAATGGGAAAATCAGCTACGGGACCTCAGAAATACTGTCTTCCTGATTAAAAAAGAGAAATGTCTAGGAGAGCTTTATTCACTAGCCTGCCCTTGCCCCTTCTGGCTTTAGAATGAGTTTGCCTGAAGACCTGGAGGCCTGGAGGCTATGAGAGGAGACCTGTCACCACACTGATGATGGTGGAGCTGAGATACGGGAAGAGCTTGGGTCTGTAATTCACTGTTGAGCTACTGACCCACTCCTGGAGTGAGCGACTTCTCCTCTTCTGGCTGTGATAGAAAATCAGATCCTCTGTTGTATACGCCACTTTCCATTGGGTGTTCTGTCCCTTGTGGATCAAAGCATTTCCTGAAACAGAATGCTATCAAATAGACTGAGGTCTCTTCCTTTTCCTGGTAATAAAATTCTTGGCTGGTTAAATACTCTCTCTGAGACTCAGCTGCACAAAATATAAAACAGGAATAATGATGACTACTTGGCTAGCTTGTTGTAGGGATTAATTGAGACAACAAAGGTACGTGTACAGGAGACACGGTTGGTGTTTTCCAGATGATCATGACTCTTCCTTTTTCCCGCCAAGTACAATACAGCAGACGTTATAAGCATAGGCTCTGGAATCACCCAGACATTGGCTTGAATCCAGGCTCTGACACTTAATCTGTGACCTTGAGCAGGTCATCTTACGGGAAGCTCATCGTCCGGATATGTAGAATGGGCATGATGTTAGTAACTGCCTCCCCGGGCCGTTGCAAAGATTAGGGAGG